ATAGATAATCTAATCCCGACTCGAAATTTGTAGAAACCCAGGGATTCAAAGGGGAAGAGACCAAAGTTCCATCAATTCGATCGAAAGTAAATCTAGAAGACGATCTGAAAATTTTACCTTGGAAGCGGCGAATGATCGGAGAAGAAGACCGTCGTATGATGCACAGAAGAGTGGAAAATAGGAAAACACGGAGGTTTTCTTGCGCTACGGGAAGTTTGGAACGTCCGGGCCAGGTCGGGTCGGAAGTTGATATCGGGATCGGTGGAAAATAGTGGGCTGTTTAATTGGGCCGGGAGGAGATTGGGCTTCGGACTGATTAAAATCATTAAATAATGGCTGAGAAAAATTTTAGTGCTGACAATGGGGTTCGAACCCATGCGCACTCATGTACGGCAGATCTTAACTCTTCCCCCCTAACCTCTCGGGCAAGCCAGCTGAATTGGCAGCGTGTTTACATAACTATTTTATAAACAGTTATGACACTCATTCAAGTTAACTGAAATGCTACCAATTTCTTGCAGAATTATATTCACTATGAAATATTTCATGATTTTTATCAATGGAAATTCAAAACAGAAAATAGCTTTTGAAATTTCTAACAACAAAGAACTCATCCTAAGGTGTAATTTCAATTTCTACAACCAAGAATGATTTTTATTTTAATGAGGTATTGTGTTACAATTAAAAACAATGTTGAGGTTGCGAAAAATCTCAAATTTAAATTGTTAACAAGATTTTTAGAAATTACATGTATTATTAATGAAGTTAAAGATATATTATAGTAAAATCACAACCATTCTTAGGTCCTCGGTGGTCCAAACATAATATGCAACTTTTTGAAGTAGTTTTCATGCAAAGAATATGGACACAACCAACTCTTTTTACAATCACATGCAGTTGGTGATTGCACTAGTGTCTTTAAACTATTGTCTACTTCATCAATTATAAACACATACACGGATAAACCACCTACCATGAAACAAACTTGGTCCTCCTAATAAATAAATTTGTACAAATCGATTAACAATTTGGAATTCAAGGCCAGCTGTTCTACTAGCTAGGAAAACTAGTACTTCCCAAGCTGTTGAGGTTAACTAATCAAGTGATGGAATGGCTGTTCCAAAAAAAATAATAATAATAATAATAATCAATTGTGTCATAACCCAATTTTTATCGGAGGCTAAATGATAAAATCAAAGGTTAATGGGTTATTTTTGTAAAAACTAAAAATTTGAAGGGTTGAGAGAGGAAATGAAAAACGACATCGTTTTGCCAATGAACTAAAAAAATAATAAGAGAGGCTGGGTTTAGACGAACCCTAACCCTCATTTTCACGACTCCTCCTGTTTCCCTCTTCCTTTGCCACTAGTCATTCTCCCAAAATTCTCAAATTCTTTTGGTTTATTCCTAAATCTATTTGAGTTCGAATAGATTAGTATGGGTGTATTTGAGATTGCTATAAAGTGCTGTAGCTGTAACAGCGACAGCGACGGTAGGTGCGCTTAGCTGTAACTATGCTATATTACAACTGTTGATTGAAAGTTATTTTGATATTTGGTTATTTATTTTTTAAAAGTATTATAGATGAAATATGATAGATTTTATTAATTATTAATTAAAATTT